GATGGGGCATTTTGGGCATTCCCAATTTAGCATACATAAGTCATTGGATAAAACAAGCACAATGTTATCAGATAGATTTGCAAGCCCAACCCAGGTATGCATGCAACACTAAGGTTTGTGTGCATATCCATTTTATCATCTGTGAAGAGTACCACAGAACCTATCTCGCATGGAACAGATCAAGAGTGGAATGCTGTGAAAATGCCGCATGCCAAGTTACCTAGGGACAAACAAGACAGAATGCAAAAACAAGCCTAACACAGGACTTTTTGTGGTGCAGATTTTTTTCTTACACAATATACTTTGCATCTCTAATTTTTTTTCCCTAAGAATCTCACTGTGCTTTCCAAAAAGTGCTGAATTTGATTGCACAGTCTCCCTTCGAGGAAACACGAGCCAAGAAAGGTGAAGTGGTTTGCCTGTGGTCACACACAGACTGCCAGAACTGGAAAGAGAATTTCTCCCGACAAAGCGCAGCACCTTATCCACAGGAGTATCCTTCCCTGTCCTCTTTCAGTGAGCATCCCTGCATTATCATAACAATTTTGAAAGCCTAAGCACAGTCCTGTGTGACCTTTTTCTCAATGAATATATTACTAATGGTGCCGGAGAAAAATACAGTCACCAGTGTGTGGTGGCAGGGCAGCACAGAAAAAAAATACAGATCATGCTTCTGGAGCTGCAAAAATCTGATGCTATAAATAAATGATTGGTTTAAGCCCTGCCCTACTGTAGAGCATATTGTGTCATTTTTCAGGGTCCTGCAGCTAAACTCAGAAAGCAATAGGTCAAAGCCATTTCATAAGGTATTTTTATAACAAGGAGTTGCTTGTGAACTCTAAATGAAACTACCTTGTATGTGAATTAGAGGAATCTGACCGATTACTTCCACTGCTTTTCTGCTGTGAAATAGAGTGGCTCTAATTCCAATTACATAGAGGCTACATTTCTTCCTTGTATCATTTCAAAAATGTTGGGCTTTCCATTACTTTGATAATTATTTGGGATTAATTTACTTAGTTCATTCCATCCAGAGAGGAAGGTCACACAAGAAACAACACATGGTGGAAGAGGAGGGGGCCATGTGGTCAGAAAGACGCAGTTACCCATTTCTGCAAAAGATTTGTACTGTGCAGCATAGTCCTACATATCAGGAACCTGCAGAGCTCTGCAGGCTGCAGGAACCCTTCACTTTTCAGTATTGGTTACTGTCAGACATACTGGAACCCTTTCAGCTTGGGTCCATCCTGGGAACCAAAGTCAGAAGAAAGAAACCTTTAGCGTGTAGAAATTGTGCTCTAGCTGCACAGCCAGGGGTGTAGTGTTACATTTCATTACTTTTCTTTTTCACTACTACCTGCATTTTGTTTTACACATCAGAAATCCAAACGTTTTGGGGAATGAGGTGTAACAGTTAACTTGAACTAAGGAAATAGAAGCACTCAGAAATAGAAGCACTTGGGCTGAAAAGTTGAAAGAAGCAGAGTTTATTCTGCTATGTGGCACAAAGGGATTAAGTAAAAGGAAACTGCTAAATGGATTTTTCCTAATGTGGGCTCCATCTTCTGTGCTGTGGTTACTCAGCTGGTCTGGAGAATGTGCTCTCAAGTCCCCTGAACATTCTTCCTTTGCCTTTAAGGCCTCTGGTCATGGCATGGTACTCCCTGTCTGCGCCAGCTCACAAGGCACTGTCTGCACCCCAACAAAGGTGTTCTGCCATCAGCCCAGGATTCTCTGCATGTAACATAAAGGGTTTCCTCGGTGTGGCGTGCACTGCTGCCTCTCAAACAGCCGTTAGCACCACTGCCCGAGAGCAGAGGGTGCATGGGGGGCAAGCAAGCCACCCCCAAGTAATCATCAGGGGCATAGAACTTCTTCCACCCTGGGGCCACGGTGTAGGGTTGGGCAAGGGTAAGTGCCCACTGGGGTTGGGAGAGGGGAAGGCGCAGCTGGAGGAGAGGAGAGAAGAGCAAGCTCCTGCCACAGCAGAGGAAAGAGTAAGCTCCTGCCAGGGCCCGGGCAGCGGCAGGACAGTGAGCTCTTCCCAGGACCTGGTGGGGAGGGGAGAGAGTGAGCTCCTGGGTGGTGGCACAGAATGAGCCCCTCCAAAAGGGGTCACATTTAAATTCCTGAGCAGGCCCCAGCCTGAGTGTGACAGGTGGGGCTCAAGAACCACCGTGGAAGCAGCTGACTGCCAGAATCTCGTTCCTTAGCGGGGTGCACTCATGCTGAAGTCAATGAGACTAGTACTTGTGTGAATAAGTGCTCCCCAATGCAAAGGTTGTACAGACCAGGCCTGTGTCTTCTGAGCAACATAAATCTCTAGATAAATTTGTTTAGTCTTTAAAGTGCCACTGGACTCCTTGTTGTTTCTGCTGAAATAGACTAACACGGCAAACTCTCTGAAATCATAAATCCCCAGAACTATTCCAAATCACACAGAATGCATTTCTCCCAAGACTCCTTGCCCCTGAGTGGATAAGAAATCTCCTGCTGCCCACTTTTAGGTATGTTTAATGTACTTAGGGACTTGTGGATGAGCACTGAGCCATCATCAGAAGTGTTTTAAGTGCCCCTTTAGGTATTAGCCGGGACAGTCCGGTATTTGCGGCTTCTGTCCGGTTAAAAAAACAGAAAATACCAGATATGTAAAAATATTTCCCTGCCAAGTTCAGTATTTTTTTTAAGTATCTATGCCCCTTTGCCCTCCTACTGCCACTACCTCTACCACCACTTGCTTGTAGATGCCTAGAGCATATGAAGTAACCTACATATGTAGGCACAAGTACACAGAACTATATATTTTTAAATGTTGCTACCAATGCAAGAAAATAAAAAGGCCTTCAGTGATGTCAGTTGTGTTATTTCAACTTGTAGCTAATAAAATATAACAATACATGTAAGTCGTTTTTACTACCTATCCAGCTTACTAACTAATAAATAAGCTAAGTGTGTTAATTGTACCTGACAGACATTATCAAATGGAGATCACAGTGCATCACTCAAGAATGCTGTTTTCTGACCCTTTTTTATCATTTAAGGGTCTTGTGACTCATTCCCTGGAAGAGGAGTCACAAGAGGAGTCACTCATTCAAGCAATCACTGAACCATATAAGAATAAAATAGCATAAAATATCACATTGTTCTAAAAGAAAAAATATGTTTACAACATCAGAAGGAAAGGAAATTTGCAACTCTATTTCTTAACAGTACATGCTTAGAAGATGTCACTAGTTTTATTATTAACAATAAACTAAACTTCATTATGTACTGTACTACTGAAATACATTCACTTCTGGGTTGAAATGCAACAGGTGTTTTAGCAGCAACATTACACCACAGAAAGTGAAGGAGACAACTGTCTCCAGCTGAAACTTCAGGGAAAATTTTTGGCAGGCAAAATGTATTAGGAAAAAAATGGAATTTGGCCAGGACAACATGGTTAATACCTCACTTTTGCAAAAAGAGCCACAGGATCTTTAGACCCAAATTTATCTCTGTACCATACAAAGCTGATGTTATCACACAGTTTATTGACATTAGAAACCTTAATCATAAAACTGTGGTTATGGAAAACTTTCTATGTGCAAAATGCAATTCCTTTCTGTGCTGCTCTTTGATGTATCCTTTCATTTTGATTCTTTCTCACACATTTTTAAAGGCCATTATCATGTAATTGGGTCTTCAAGGTTCTGGGAAATAGAGCAAAATCTTCTCAGATAGACACTTCAAATCTCTTATCTGCACGGTGGATTCATAATGCAGATTGAGGAAGAAAGCTTTATCCTATAGTTGTGTAACCCACACACCTTCTGTATGTAGCGACGAGGAGTCCTGTGGCACCTTATAGACTAACTGAAGTGTAGGAGCATAAGCTTTCGTGGGCAAAGACCCACTTCGTCAGATGCATGCATCTGACGAAGTGGGTCTTTGCCCACGAAAGCTTATGCTCCTACACTTCAGTTAGTCTATAAGGTGCCACAGGACTTCTGTATGTGGTTCACTGTCTTCTGTAGTGGCACTTAGACCATTTAAGAGAGAGAGTGAGAGAGAATGAGGGTGGTCTACATAGCACCCTAAAACCGAAATAAGATACACAAATTGTGACAGAACCAAATTTTGAAATATTTCGACACATCCCTTAATCCTAGTGGAAAAGGGTTACAGGGATGCCAAAACAGCATGCCTGTTATTACAAAAATATTTTGAAATAACGAGCGTATTTAAAAGATGTGGGGTAGCTATTTTGGGATGCCTCTAGTATGCCAAAGTAGCCCCGCTGTCTAGACATACCCTAAGTTTGCTCTACTGCCTGAGCTGAGAACTAGCTGGCTTTTAGCTCAAGCTTAGCTTTTAGCTAAGCTCTAGAAGTCCCAGGTTTGGTTCTGCCTGTTAGTGTTACAGTTACACCTGAAAATAAAACATGATAACATCTCCAGAGTGGAAAATTACAAGGAGTCAAGACTGCTTGAAGATGCCACTAATAGCCAGTACAATCCCTACCACAGAAAATTCAGCTTGTGATAAAAGTTAATGCAGAGTACTCTGAATGTTGTCCTCATTTCCTCCAGCATGCTCTGGATCTTTGAGTTCTCTCCCCTAAGCATTTGATTTTATTTTAAAAATTATTTCTGGTGGAAATACATACCATGAGGAAATATTGGTGAGATGTGCTGTAGGCCGCAGTGTGCAATGGGGGAAAAAAGGATGATTTTAAAAGAATAATGCTAAAACTCCAGTTGGAGAGGGATTCGTTTTCTGCTTCAACAAAAAGAACAAACTTCTCCATAACAATCACATCTATTTAATGCAGACTTTCAGCCAGAAGAAAATGCACTTTAGCCCACATGGAAACAATTAAAATTCAGTCTTCTGTTGACTGAATAATAATCCCGTGTTGGTACTGCCTGTTCAGTGTTGTGTTCTGTCCACATGAAATGTTCAATTATTTCCTGTAAAAGTCTGGGCCACCCATGTTAGTGAAAAAAAACATGTCTTACCTGGGTCATCTTGGCAAGGTCCAATGAAGGTCTTTGTTCCTGAATCTCCTCAGGCCTTCGACGTTTTACTCCTACCTTCTTGTCATTAAGGACACATGGCTGCGACCGGCTTCGGGACAGCCCGTTGGAGCGTCTCACCAGCTCTGGTGTTGAGGCAGGAGTGCTGTTTGCTGAGGGTGCACAGTATTCCGAGGAGGAAAACTGATCATGTGAACAGGAGAGGGACCTCTGGATGTCCATCCGGGTAACATCTACAGAATTGTGATCATAACCCAAGATGTCCCCTGCCTGTCCATAGGTGGTTGACCTCCTCAGGCCTTGGCACGGCTGACATCCAAATTTGCTGCTAACTCCAGACTGGTCATATGATGAGAAAAGAGTATTTGACCTTGAAGGTAGGCTAAAACTTGAACTCCGTTGCATGGTGGTGATGCCATTTGAGTAGCGCTGGACACTTCCCCCACTATAACACCGTCTCTTTTCTACAGGAGTCCAGACCTTTGATCCTAAAGGCCTCCATGATGTTCGGCAGCTAGACATTTCATCAGAAAAAGAGAGTGACCTACATTGGCGTTTGCTGGGAGGTGCTGATGGGTTACCATTGTGGTCACTAAGACTGAGGTCTTTGATCAAGTTGGTCACAGAACATGTGTTAGCTGCCTCTCTTTGCCATATTGAGCCATCTTCACTTTTATCAGGCAGACAGTCCCAGATGTTGCTGCTAGGCTG